GCAAGCTTCTCATAGCCTTTCCTCTGCTTTGGCAATTAACACCTGCTCTAAATCATTTAGCTTCTAGTACTACTAAAGTCTAAAGGGGATCTTGGTTGCTCATGTTTGTTCTGATGAAGTCCTCTAATCTTGTAGGCCTGACGTTCCTCTTTAATAGCAGTTTTTGGATTAGTGTGAACAAGTACTTGGTTTGGCTCTATGCTTTTCCTGAAAGTATCTGTCTGATAAGTAGCATCAACCACTCCATCAAGCCCTGATGGATTCATACAAAATACTCTATTGTTTCCACATGTGACGTATTACCTTTGAACGCGTGTCAGCGCCGTGAGGTGTACAGGTGGAGGATCCCAATGGCCCATGGGTACAATATGGCCTGGTTTAGTTCCAAAAATATAATCTTTGACACATGCATGGATCATTAAATATAGATAAAAATAAAAATTAATCGCACAGTTTGCATGGAAATCGCGAGACGAATTTTTTGAGCCTAATTAGTTCATGATTAGCCATAAATGCTACATTAACCCACATGTACTAATGATGGCTTAATTAGGCTCAAAAGATTCGTCTCGCGGTTTTCAGGTAAGTTATGAAATTAGTTTTTTTATTCATGTCCGAAAACTCCTTTCGACATCCGGTCAAACATCCGATATGACATCTACAAATTTTCTTTTCGCGAAGGGCCTGTGTTCGACCTAGGACTGAAAACGGGGCGGGTATTTCCCGACCGCCCGCCCGGCCACATTATTTCGGGTCAAATTCGGGTCGAGAATTCGGGTACCCGGACCCTTACACGGATACAGGGTTCGAATACGGGTAATTTTTTGCGGATATGAAATCGGGTTCGGGAGAGCGGTATCCGACGGATACGGATTATCCGGGAAATTATGCGGGTATTACCCGATAATCTATCCGTATATTACCCGGATAGATGGACAGCAGCCCAACAGGCAAGCGCCCAACAGGCCAACACAACAGGCAACAGCCAGCCCACATCCAAAAGGCCCACCAAACAAAGTGCCAAGCACAAACCCTAGCCTTCACTTCACAGTTCAGATTAGGGCAGAACGCAGGCAGGCAAACAGCCAGGCAGCACTGCGCCGCACGCCGCATGCGTGCATCCAGGCTCCAGCACCGCCGCCGTGCCTTCGCAGTTCGCCGACCACCAAGTGGCTACGCGGCCACGCCCACCGACCACCGGCCGCTGTCGCACGTCGCCGCGTGGGTGTGCGACAAGCCGACGACCGTCAGACTGCCGCCGCGCCGACCACCACCGCAAGGCCCCGCCTGGCCCCTTGCCTCTTTTGGCTCCTCAACGCCGAGAGCCGAAGGACGTCGCGCCACCTCGTCATCTTCTTGGGTAGTCAAGTCAACACTCAGCGACTCATCCAGCCATCCAGGTTAGCCAAAGTTTCAGTTTTTCATTGCCCTTTCTCAACATCACGTTAGAACTTGGAAGGATTTTTTTTTCTTATTTTACTTTTGCTGTTTGGCTGTAGGATTAGGATAGAATGGCTAGTGGTGATGCAAACACTAGTATGTGTGCAAGCACAGGTGCATCTCCGGCTGGTACCGTAGCTGTTGGTACTGGTCACTCGGCATTGGCACCAAATGCATTGGTACTAAATGATGCAACCACAGCCACTGGAGGTGGAGGTGGAAGTTCAGAACTTGTTGTTATTCCCGATGAAGAAGATGGAGAATTCACAGGAGAAGTTGAACCGGTAGCAAAGAGGCAGAAGAAGTGTACCTCGAAGGTTTGGGACTATTTCATTAAGTACACTGACAAGGCCAAGAACAAAGTTACTGGTGTGGAAGAGCAACAACGTAAAGCAAAATGCAAAAAATGTGGTAGAGTGTTTGGAGCAGAGACAGTAAATGGCACAAAACACTTATGGAATCATTTGAATCGTATTCACTCATTGAAACAAGGCCAGCAAGAACTTCAGGTGAAGGGTGAAGTTCAGACTTTCAGGTATGATCCTGAAGTAAGCTTGGAAAAGTGGTATATAGCTGTTATTATGCATGAATATCCATTTTCTATGGTTGATCATGTGTATTTCAATGAGTTCATCCACTCTCTTCGGCCTAGTTTTGAATTCAAGTGTCGCATTACCACTAGTAAAGCTATATTAGAGATATTTGAAGTTAGAAAGAGAATTTTGTATGATGAGCTGAAATCTGTTTCTAGTCGAATTTCTACAACCATGGATATGTGGACATCAAATCAGAACAAAGCTTATATGTGCATCACTGCTCATTGGATTGATGAAAATTGGCTGATGCAAAAGAGAATTCTTAAGTTCATTCATATAGATGGGAAACATACAGGAACAAGGCTAGCAAATGCATTTGTCAAGGGAGTAATGTCTATGAATATTGAGAAAAAATTATTTGCTCTCACACTAGACAATGCTTCATCAAATGATAAATGTGCTAGAGAAGTTGTGATAGAGCTTAACAACCTGTTTAACATCAGTAAGGTCCCTCCATTGATGTGTGATGGTGCTTTCTTTCATGTGAGATGTTTATGTCACATATTAAATCTTGTGGCTCAAGATGGATTGAAAATCATTGCACATACAATTCAGAATATTAGGACTACTATTGGTATTGTGAAGAATTCTACGTTGCAATGGGAGGAATTTCAAAAGTGTGCTGTAGAATGTGACTTGAACAACAATTCTAGGCTACCCCTTGATGTGCCTACAAGGTGGAACTCTATATATGACATGTTGAAACAAGCTATTTACTACAGGGGTGCTTTTGAAAGGCTTTTATTCTTAGATGAGGATAGATATCAAAAGTGTGCATCAAGTGCTGAAGAATGGGGTATGGCAGAATCACTATGCAATTGTTTGGAGAAATTCAATGATGCCACATTGTTATTTTCCGGTTGTCTATATCCAACTGCAAACTTGTTTTGGTGGAAGTTTTGTGAGATTAAGTTAGCACTTCGAGAATGGTGTGCAAGTGCTGATGTCTCCATTGCTTCTATGGCTGTGGCCATGCAACTCAAATATGACAAATATTGGGACAAGTCCAACCTAGCTCTTGCTGTGGCTTGCTTTCTTGATCCTAGATACAAGCAAAAGCTAATGATTTTTTTTCTACAGAAGATTTACCCTGACAAGTATGAAGAGGAATTTAAGCGTGTCTTGGCTGCTATCGATAAATTTTTCCGGGCTTACAAGAGTTGTGTTGCAAGGTCTTCGAAACCTACCGCTGCAGGATCAAGTGAAAATTCTCAGCCACATGGTAATACTTCTTTGGGTCACAATGAAATCGAGAAATTCTTGTATGATGATGCAGCTGCAAATAAAGAAGACGATATAAATGAATTGGATGTCTACATGAAAGAGAAGCCAATTCGTTGGGTTGATCCAACAGGTGAAGGTGTAGAATTTGACATACTGGCATGGTGGAAGAACAACCAAATGACCTTTCCTATCCTCTCAACACTCGCGCGTGATGTAATGGCTGTTCAAATCTCTACCGTTGCTTCAGAGTCAGCGTTTAGTGCTGGTGGTCGTGTTGTTGGTCCTTTTCGCAGTTCTCTACATCCTGAGATGATTGAGGCTCTAGTTTGTACCAAGGATTGGATAAGAGCATCTAGAAAAGGTAACTGCTTGTTTATCTTCATTTCGCTATTTATATAATCTGCCATTTCTAGACTGTGTTTATATTTTGTCAATTTTATTTACAGGACCATTTAAGGAGAAGATAGCAACAATTCTTGATGAGCTGGATGTACAGATAGAGGATAAAGATGGTGCTAAAACTGACAATGATGAGGAGGTTAATTACATATTTATGTGTTGCATTTAAAAATATATTTTGGACCTGCAATCTTTAAATGAACAATCTGTTGGTTCCACTTTGGATTTTGAGAGAGTTAAGGAGCACCACATTGTATTAACTGAATGTTATGTTCTTTTTAGGGTCAGGCAACGAATAGTGTTTGAAGCTGAGCATGTTGCTGATTGGAGAGCTGGAGTTTTTGGTGATTGAATCTGAACATGCTGGCCTTTGGGATGACTGTATTGGTAATATGTGATCAGTAGTCATATAAGTGTATCTTTTGGCTTGATTGTATACCTTATGTGAACTACTTTGGTACTACTTAGTAGTTAGTACGATTACTTATGGAGTTATGGTGATGCTCTTAGTATTTACTAGTATGGTACTACTTATTATGGTGAACTATAGTGTACAGCATTGAGTCTGAAGCTATCAAGCTATGAATGTCTACTTTTGCTACTACTTTGGTACAGTTTTGCTGATAGGCATTACGATGCCATAAGCCCCTAATATATTCATAATAGACATATAGGAAATGGCTGAATGGCTATTGTCTATGTGGTATATTTGGTTGTTGCTTTGACTTGATATCTGAATAAATATTCGTAACCGATAGAGTTCGTATCCGTCTTGGTACGTATTCGTTCCGTATTTATGCCCGATATTATCCGTGCTTCTATTCGTATCCAATAATATCCGTGCCCGACCCGATTCCGATTATAAAATGTGGGTTAGGATATGGGAAGGATGAGATCCGACCGAACCCGACCCGATTTCACCCCTAGTTCGACCTAACTGATGCGAGATAGTGTAGTTTTTGTCTCTGACTCACGCTCAGCTCGCCTGCTCCAGAAGCATCCCAAGTGTAGATGTTGTTGTTGCTGTTGCCGCACTAATCTTTTGTTGCTTTTCTATTGTTCTTGGTAGCAGAAGGCCGGCCAGGCGACCACACTTGCTGAGAGCCTCAGACAGAAAGAGCATTTCAGCGGCCACCGATCTGTCAGGTTCAGCCACTCGTATACTTTAACCTTGTGACTTCAGCTTGAATTCATCAGAGTTGAGAACAATTCTCACACTGACGGACTGACCATTTGCAACAAGAAGTCTCGTACCTTCAGAAAATCAACTTGCTGCAATTCTTCAGTGTATCTGGCTTTCTGGAAAGAGAACTGGGTGCACATACACATAGGCACAGGGTATAACAGACAACAGAGAGAGTGCTCATGTAATGACCTGATTGAAATGTCTAATGTTTCAAGATACAGGCATTCCTCGCCATGCCACCAATTGATATATACATACATGCACGGTGCTATTTACAACTTCCAAGCACACAAACATGCTAGCAACACAGAAAACGAGATGACAAACTCTTGGGCAACAGAACGATCAATTAGACCAACACATTTCCCACATGCACCAAACAACATGACAATCTAAAACTTAAAAAGAAAATGAACAGCACAACATGCAACAAAAAGAATGGATTGCTGTTAATTTCCTGCAGGATCCTCAGAAGCAGTACGCCTCCTTAGCTTGGAGCGAGTCACACGGATCGTCTCCTCCATTGGTCTCTCCTCTACTGTCTCACCTGGAACAGGATCACCCTCTTCTGTGCCCTCTACGGCATCATCAGCCTCGTCAATGGCCATCTTGTCAGCTTCTTCGGCTTCAGGGAGTGGAGCACTAGGTTCAGATGCTGGTACATCGGCCTTTGTTGCTGGAGTTGCCACTTGCAAGGAAGCTGGCGCCGCCTCATTTTTCTTTGGTGCGTCGGCATCAGATTTTGGTGTTGACGGAGCTGCAGCTCCGGTCAACTTTGTTGATGCCACAGGTGCAGCTTTTGTTGATGCTTGGCGCTTGATCTTGGGGGAAGATGGAACCGTCTTGGCATCCTGAGACTGCTGTGCCATTGCAGCTTGCCGAGCAGCAATAGATGCTGATCTGCGCAAAACAGTTGGTGCTTGTTTTTGTGTCGGCTGCTGCTGTACTGGTGCCTGCTGTTGTTTTGGTTGTTGCGGCTCCTGCAGGGAATCGGAGCAAGATTTCAGATTTTTAAATACATGAGTAGCTGGAACTAAAAAGAGAAAGAAAAAGAAGCAAGAGCAGGGAACACGTGGATAATTAGTTATTCTACTTCAAATGGTTAATTCTATGACATGAGATGAAAGGGAGTATTGATTTGCATGGCTTCTCTTAAATTGACAACTGAGAAGCTTTTCAGGTACATACATCCTAATGAAGTATCGACAACAATTCACCAAGCAATATATTATATCGAATCTCCTTTCTAGTCATTCACTTTCAATGTACACGATGAAAACCCATACAGTGGAGGTTTTTTTGGTCACATGAATTTTTAAGCCTATCATTGTATCCAAAACTGAATAATTACTCCTAAATGAAGAAAGATCGATGTCACCACTGTTCTGATTTATAATGCAAATATAGGCAACTGCACCAGATGATAGTTAGAGAAATTTAACTGTACTCCTTGTTGCCCGGGAGGAACGTTAAATTTTGGATAAGATGACGACAGCTTAAGACTGGACAGTTTGCACTATATACTTTCCTACTCTATCTAGTTATAAAATTGGAAATATAACAGCAATAAGTCAAAGTGATAATGAATAGTGTAGTTTATTTTTTAGAACCAATTGTTGTTGCAACTGTCAAGGGATAGTGTTATTTGTGATTATCCTACAGATGAGATATGGTTGGTAGCTCAACTCTAGGTTGTGTAGTTGGAAGGCTCAACAGCTCAAGTTACCGGGAGCAATACTTAAACTTGTTGACAAGCCTGAGACTTGATAGGTTTATGTTATGGGTCAATAAGTGCTCAGCACATGATAAGGTGTAAATATGTTAGGTGCATAACAGTTATTCAGTACATTCATACGCCAAATGCTACCCATCATCCACAACCCCTCATCCCCTCCAAAAAGAGAAAAAAAAGGAAAAAGCTATCATGCCCTAAGCCTTTTGCTCACTTGGCTCATGAGCATTGTACAGCCCAACTAGTGTTGAAAGATAATGCTACCGAACCCTTTAGAAACCTTGCGAAAATCTAGTCGCCAGTTTGCAGTTGCTGACCTGTTAGGCTGTAAAACTTTGATGCTTAAACACATATTTCATTCCAATAAGATTTTGTCTTTTCAGGGGGCGTTAAATTCAGTTACTAAACAATCACACTTTCAACTAATTACAATGTACAGAGTATGAAAAGAAAAGGAGGAAGTAGTAATTGACTCATTTCCAAAGCCAACACAATGCCAAATGGATTGTCATATTAATACTCCCGGTCAAATTGGACATGTGTTTATGTAGCAGTAGAAAGAGACATTGTTGCATTACCAAGGATTAGATATGGATGTTCCCAAGAAGGTGTATATTGTAATCCCAGATATGCACACATATTTTTTAGAACATATATAGCTCGATGAAATCAGGAAGAAGTTTTTACGTCACCATACCATTAACTAGGATGTGTGTAAGAGCATGTTTGGCATAGCTCCAGCTCCACCTCTCCTGGAGCTGAAGCTCAGCCAAACAGTTTCAACTCCACCTAAAATGGGAGTAGAGCTGGGTGCAACGCTCTCACAAAATGAACTAGAGAGGTGGAGCCGGGTTTAGACTGCTCCACAACTCTATTCCAGACCCAACTCCTAGAGTTAAATTTAGGAGTTGGAGCTCTACCAAACGGGCCCTTAGTAATTGCAAAAATAAAAATAAAAAAAAATCTAGGATGTGCATATCTAAAATCAGTCATAAAGAAACTTTAACATGGTACTATAAACCAACATATAGCTTGCAGACTCAGCAAATTAGTGGTGGCTTTTCTAGAAAGCTTATATGCTCACACCTCATGCCGATGCTCAGTACAAAGGCCTATGACCTTGGTGGTTGTGTAAAATGGACTTATAAATTATTCCTGTTTCTATAGTTTATAGAGAAAGTAGCTGCAGACACCAAGTCTACATGTGATGGCAGTACTGCAGTAATAGTAAAGGCGTCTTGCATAAAAAAAAAACATATAGCTAACAAACTAGCAAGACAACATGGATAGAATTGCTTTAGAAGAGCACCGGAAAACTTGAGCATTAGCGACTGCACAGAAATGGTGAATTCGGTAATTCCAGTGGTTAAAAGCAAATGAGTTTGTTCAGTGAACAGCTTTGAAGAAGAGAAGCATGTTAGTACCTGAGAAGGTTGTTGACTTGACCTCTGAGATGGTGATTGCGAAGCAACATACTTCAAAACGTCAAAGAATGTATTCTGTCCTACAGTAGCAGCCTTTTGAAAATAAAGGACAACTACATCGGTGGCTCGAGCTCTCAACTCAAGCAAATTACGGTCAATTTCATTCTCATGCTGTGAAATATATGGCCTAAAGAAAGTCCCATAAATGTAGGTAGTTCCCTACAATGAAGGCAAATGTCAATCCAATGTACAGAAAAAACATCTAAAAATAGAAGCTATAGGTGACAAATCGAGTACCTTTGTCTTAGGGTACCACAAGTATATAAAGAACATCAGCTTTGCTTCCGAGTAAAATGGTAGCCTTCAACACGATCATATGCATGGTGCAACTAATGTTAGAGACTGTTAAAAAGAGATGAAAAATGCAAACGTTGGCAGTCTTACCATGATATTGTAAAATCTCCAAATCTCTCCATAACCGTCATCAGAGCTACTAGAATCCTAGACACAGGCACAGCAAATAAAAGCTAAATGTCTCGCAAATACTAATGAAGGATAATGTCATGATCAAAGATGAAAGAATCATCTTACCAATACTGACACCAAAATATGAGCTGCTCAATCTCTGGTTTATTCAGTTCGACAGTCTTGTAGCACTCATATGCTGGATAGGCGTAGCCAAAGGCCAACCTACATGCAATAGGCATAAGCCAGATCATAAATGACATATCCATGCTCTATTTGTTATCCAGACCATAAACAAAATGTATGTACATTCTTTCCGAGTAAAATGATTTAGAGGAAAACGATTGCTCTTTTTTTTTCTTGTTTTTTTTTTGTTGCGCTCCAAACTAATCCATAGAAGAGCAGTTGACCATTTCGAGGGTGCGTTGAATTGAGCATCTGAGCATCATTGAAGAGGCTAAATTTTCAACGCACTTGCATTAAAGAGGAGAACTCACAATACGCATCTTGATCTACGAGACATGATCAGGCTTACATTATAGAACAACTGCAGATGAAGCATGCCAAAAGAACAAAGCTTCTGAATTTCGGGTTTATTTGTTCAAATCGGAGCCTAAAAACTGAGCTTCAGCTAATAGTACAGAACGTCAGAATCATTATCCATTCTTAGATTCCGATAGACAAGATCATGCGACAGGAATCTTGAAAAAAAGAATCAATCTGTTAAGAATAAACGAAAGCCTTTGACCGTTGTGCAATGCATTGAAAATTTGGTCCCATCCTCCTCGTGAACAATAAACATCATATATTTTTCGAATGCGTAGCGGGCTCTCACCTCCCGATTTCAAGCCGAAGAATCAGGTGAACAAATCGACACGAAGAAACGCATCTCGCGATTTGTTGTTTTCAAACAAAATAGCATATACTATTAGGGGGGGGGGGGGGTGAAAGAACAGAGAAACAAAAAAGTAAAGGAGACTCTGCCCTCCGAATGGACACACATGCATCCTCATCTCAAGAAAACGAAACCAAAACCGGAGACCCAATGCCTTTGACAACTTCCATACCCAAAATATCAACTTCGCAAGAGCACATTTCAAGATTCAGGGGGAAGGGGAGGGAAATGCTTACAGGAGGACCCGGGAGAGGAATCCGCCCATCATCTTCTCCGACGTCCTGCGCACATCCAGATCCAACAGAACCGACACGAATCAGAACACACCATCAGCAGCAACGAATTTCCAAGAGAGGACGCAAAAGAATCTGCAAAAGAAACCTCTTTTGGAGATGGATCCGGCGAGGAGCGGCGAAACGGAGAGGGCGGAGAGAGATGGTCAGGAGCTCGCCACCCTCCCCTGTTCCCTCTCCCTCTACGCTATCCCTCCCTCCTCTATCGCGGCTTAACTAAATATACCGGCAATGCGGTGGTGGTTTTGCCGAGATGAGGAGGAGGAGAAGAGAGAGAGAGCCGGAGAAGAGGCGAGCACGTCCGCCGTCAGCTCGAGCTCCAACCAACCGGACCCCTTCCTGTTTCTTTTTGTATCACCGGGTTATAATAAGTGGATGTACCTGGAACATATCTTTAACCAATTATAAATGCGCCATGTCTACCTCTCTCTCTCTCTATCTCTTTCTCTCGTGTTGGGAAAAATAATGTTTCAACGCCCACTAATTTTTTTTAACTCGAATGCGATGCGACACATTCTTTCATCGCACGAACCTTTCCTCCTGATGCAACCGTTGAATCATCATCTGGTTTAGGTTTTTCTTCCCCTTCAGTGTGGTTATGTTGCAATGATTGCCGGTGAATCATCATCTTTAATTAGGTTCACCGTGATGAGGGAGGCTTCACTCCGCCGTACAATCATGGCGTTGATCTCGTCAGTAGCTTTTTCCCTTCATGACCAACTGCATCCTGACCCCGCGTGATGAAAGGCCAAAGTGGCAAAGTGGTTAAGCCGGTAGAGAGCAGAGCAAACCAGAGGCAGCTTTGAACACACGGCTCGCCTCAGCCTCCCGCACACAGCACTGCTATTCTTGTGCGGATCGATCGGCAGCAGCATGGGTTGGATCATGGTGATGGATGGTAGCCGTGGGATGGGAGCGGTAGCCGGTGGTAGGTCATGAGTGACAAAGCTAGTAGGACACGCACCGCGAATCTGGCCGGATCTGAGCAAAAACCTCGCTCTCGCGCCGTGCGCGAGAAACGTCACGAACTCACGCGTGCCTCCAAGCCGTGCGTGGCCCGGGCGGCTCCCCCTGCGCGGCGCGGCCGCACATGCGCGCCGCCTGCTCGCTCTCGAGCTGATGAGCGAATGCTCGCGTAGAGACGGGACGAGAGGACGAGAGAGGAGGGGTTTGTTTTGTCGGTTGGGAGGCGCACGCACGTGAGCCTGCACGTTTCGGGCTTTTGGATGGCATCCCATGATTGCCGTGCATGGGCGGGCGACGAGACGAGGAGGGGGGCTAAATCTGGGTTTATACTGAGATTATATACCTACCTGCCTAGCTACCTGCCTTTTTGCCTCGGTGTAGTATGTGGTATTCCCGACAAATACATTACCTTTGCTGGCTTGATGCCTCTAAAATTAGGACATGTGGATCCGATCGATCAGCGTCGCATCTAGGTGCGTGTTTGTTGCAGTGGGGAGCTCCTTTTCTATACTTTGGGAAATCAACATGTATGTGCTTTAGTTAACTTTATAAATCTCGAAATCGCATAAACAATTCGCGTTTTACAGATAAGCACGGGAGAATCTGCGAATGATCGGATCAACTCGTTTATTTGAGTGGAAAGGATCTTGCAACTTGCAACCGCCAACATCATCAACTCCTTTTGTTAGCGACCAAGGGGGTGATTATGCCCATGGATTGCTGAAATACGTGCGTCATGTCAGATGCATGTCTCTGTTGCCCGGAGCGTAGCTGTCAGCTTATCTGGTTATACTTATACGGCAGTATGGCGCCCATGTTCTCTCCCTAGTACAGTTTTGTCCTACGTTATGTCCTGTGTGTCTGGCTGTATCGCTTGTAACAATTGATGCCATGAAGTTACATGAACTCTGTACAGTACACTCTAATGTACCGTAATTTATCTTGCCATTAGCTGATGAGTTGAGGACGGCTGATGTAGATCTGTTCTTTCCCGTTGTTCCTCTGCCTTGGCACTCATCGTTCATTTTTCTCTATTGATAGATGGGCCTTTGGAATCATAATTGGTAGGTGAGGGGATAGGCAGTTTAGTGATCGGTCACTAATGTCATGGATGCATTGACACTGATACGTTTCAGCAGTGTTCAGTTGGTTGGTTTGTTCTTATGTCACGGCAACCTAACCCTACTTATTGTCTTTATTATTTTATTATCATAATTGCCTCCATTCCCGGTCCCCACCATGCAGATAGGTAGTGGCCACTGGCCACATCATGTACGTATAAGGCCCTGTTTAGTCCATAAAATAAAAATTTTTACACTATCACATCGAATGTTTGAACACATGTATAGAGTATTAAATATAGGAAAAAAAACCAATTACACAAATGGCGTGTAAATTGCGAGACGAATCTTTTGAGCCTAATTGTGCCATGATTTGATAATGTATTGCTATAGTAAACATTTGTTAATGACATATTAATTAGGCTTAATAAATTCGTCTTGTAGTTTTCTGGCGGAATCTGTAATCTGTTTTGTTATTAGACTACGTTTAATACTTTAAATATGTGACCGTATATCCGATGTGACAATCAAATCCAAAAATTTTCCCCACCTAAATAAGACCTAAGCTTCACGAACAAAACTGCGCAAGTAATTTCTCTAACAGGTGTGGACACCAACATACTCTGCACTAGTAGTGGTTATTAAAATTTGACCAATTACAGATCAAAGTGCAAATATATAATTTCAGGCAGTTGGCAACCATAGGTCTTGTGTATACTGTCTAGTCCAATCTTTGCTCACTTTATCAGTGTGAGATCATCTGTGATGTAGTCTGTATCATCAATTAACCAGCGGAAGTTTGTTATTTAGGCTCATCTAACTGCCCCTTGACGGTATTGTTATACTAGTATTATTTTGGCATATGAATCCAGGATCATCAATTTTATCCACTAAATTAAAGATAGCCTAACACACCTATAACAGTGTGGAATAGTTTCCTGAGTGGTGGGCATAATCATTTTCCTGATCTCACTCCAAACCAACTCAAATGGTCCACATTTGCAGAACTTAGGCCACCTGATTTTGAAACAACTGAAATATAAGATGAATTTGAAAGTTTGGAGCAGCTGCAGCCTTCAGCACACTCTGTATTCGTGTGCAGTAAAAAAAAAATCCATTTGCTCACAATCATAAAAATAATATTAAATCCGATCGTCGCAAAGGAACCAACACCAAACAGACCAAAAGAAGACAGATTGTGCCCGAAGGAAATCACAAACTTCCTTTCGTGAAACAAAGCTGCTGCATTAGATCCCCTTTTGATTTTTCTAGATTAGATCCATCTCACACTCATACACCGCTTTACTACCTCTATATCATGGACGCAATCACCTTTGCTAGATAGGCCCTCACCCACCTGCCTTTGCTGCTAGCTTCAGAAACGGATAACGATACGTACTTTAGCCATAAAAAGATGATTTCATCTAAGCATCGAGCTGAAGTACTAGTTATACAACTCTAACGGATAGTGAGTTCGTTCAGTCGGAGACAGAGTGCAGTCCAGCAGAGTTCAGAGTTTCAGATGGCTTGTGCGACACAAGTTGTGTCTGCTTCAGATGGAATTGGAATAGTGACTGCACGTTAACGACTGCACACAATTTCGACCGTCCATTTTTACGATCAACGGTCCAAATGTAAAGCTACAGTAACCGATGTGAACAGCATTTTGTGCTGTAGTATTACTGTATTACTACTACAGTACTGTGAACAGTACGCTGCTCGCTCAGGCCGTCCGATTTGTATCCGATGATGCATACCGCTACTGCTTAAGTTGCAGTCGCTCCAAATCCCTTGAGATGGGCCTCTAGGAGGTGAGGCCCAAGTTGGAAGACGCCCACATCCAAAATTAGAGCGGGGATAAACGCAGAAATGCTATTAGGCGCAGTTTTGTTGATTTCGTCGCAGAATAAGCATGCTAATGTACGGTTAGAAAACAAGGCAGATTAACGACGCATGCACATATATATAATCTATATAAACTTTATTTATTTCGTTTTATTTGCACAATACATCTGTGTTTCACTAGTAGAGAAACCATCTTTGGTCGGTCGACCCAAATCCACAATAGTCCCGGTTCCATTAAAAACCGGAACTAAAAATGATTTTTAGTCCTTTTTAATAAGAGGAAGATCTTTAATCCCGGTTGTCGTTAAAAATGATTTTAACTCCAACAGAGACTAAAGTTCATTTTTAGTCCCGGTTGATTCCATGTCAGGCCGTGTCAGGGCCCTATGATCTTTAGTCCCGGTTAGTAACACCAACCGGGACTAAAAACCTATTTTTAGTTCCGGTTGGTGTTACTAACCGGGAATAAAAATCAAAACACACTATATAATCCATAGTACCGATCCTCTTTTCCCGTCCACACAACAAACTCCTCCCTCTATCTCTTTTTTTCCTCTCTAACTTCTTATCTCTTTCCTTATCTCTAACTCCCCTCCTCTCTTTCCTTTTTTCCTTCACCACAGTGCAGGCGGCCGGCGCGGCGGCGGCGCGGCGGTGCCGGGGGCTGCGCGGAGGCGGTAGCTGCGGTGGGCGGCCGCTCGGCGGCGACCGGCACGGCGCTGGCCGGCCAGCGCGGAGGGGAGGAGGGGAGGCGGCAGTGGTCGCCGGCCGGATTTTTTTTCTTTTTTTAGATGTGAATCTATGATGTATTTTTGTGTGAGATGTGAATCTGTGATGAATTTTTTAGAACCCTGTGATATAATTTTTTTAAGAGTTTGTGATGTATTTGGAGATGATTTGTTTGAGGATTTTGAGATGTTCTGTAATATGTGATGATTTGGATATGGGAGGGGATGGTGTGAAATCAATATTCAATATTAAAAGCAGAAAAAAAAGAAAAAATATCTTTAGTCCCGGTTGGTGTTATCAACCGGCACCAACCGGGACTAAAGATGCTCCCAACCGGGACTAAAGATTGATTTTTAGTCCCAGTTAAGATAGCGATCTTTAGTCCCGGATTCGTAGTCCCGGTTGAAAAACCGGGACTACAGGAGGGTTACGAACCGGGACTAAAAAAACATTTCTCCGCCAGTGTTTCTTCGTAGCAGTAAAACTGAAGCTCCTTGTAAAGCATGCAGGCCAAGCCATTCGATTTTAGTAGCTTCGAAACAAGATCGGCCGATCTATATACTTATACTAAGCTGGATTCGGGCACATCTGATCAGTGACAGAATAGGTTGAGTTCGACGGTCTTGCCGCAGAGGCCCAGAATCACCCTGATCGGAGGAGGAAGGACGCCGATAGGGCCTTTGAGAGCGCGGCACAGGCAGTCAGTGGCGCCGCTGCTGGATAGATCCTCCAGCGGTGGGCAACACTGTTGCCTAGCCTTGCTTGGATTTAGTACCAGATCGAATAACGAGAGTTTTGTGCACTCTTTAAGGATAACTATTTTGATGAGTGGGCAACGGCCGGGTGGTGGTGGTTGGTTTTGCGGAGGCGGTGACGGCATCGGCGCCGGAGGTGGTGGCGTTGGCGGCATCGGTCCTGGGGACGGCGGTTGTGTTGGCGGAGGCGGTGACGGCATCAGTGCCGGAGGTGGTGGCATCGGCGGCATGGGTCCTGGGGACGGTGGCTGTGTTGGCGGCGGTGGCGACGGCATCGGCGCTGGTGGTGGTGGCATCGGCGGCATGGGTCCTGGGGACGGCGGTTGTGTTGGCGGCGGTGGCGACGGCATGGGTCCTGGGGACGGTGGTTGCATTGGTGGAGGTGACGGCATCGGCGGCATGGGTCCTGGGGACGGCGGTTGTGTTGGCGGCGGTGGCGACGGCATCGGTGGCATGGGTCCTGGGGACGGTGGTTGCATTGGTGGAGGTGACGGCATCGGCGCCGGAGGTGGTGGCATCGGCGGCATGGGTCCTGGGGACGGCGGTTGTGTTGGCGGCGGTGGCGACGGCATGGGTCCTGGGGACGGTGGTTGCATTGGTGGAGGTGACGGCATCGGCGCCAGAGGTGGTGGCATCGGCGGCATGGGTCCTGGGGACGGTGGCTGTGTTGGCGGCGGTGGCGACGGCATCGGCGCTGGTGGTGGTGGCATCGGCGGCATGGGTCCTGGGGACGGTGGTTGCATTGGTGGAGGTGACGGCATCGGCGGCATGGGTCCTGGGGACGGCGGTTGTGTTGGCGGCGGTGGCGACGGCATCGGCGCCGGGGGTGGTGGCATCGGCGGCATAGGTCCTGGGGACGGTGGTTGCATTGGTGGAGGTGACGGCATCGGCGCCGGTGGTGGTGGCATCGGCGGCATCGGTCCCGGGGATGGTGGTTGAGTTGGGGGAGGTGGTGACGGCATCGGCGCCATCGGTCCGGGAGACGGTGGTTGTGTGGGCGGTGGTGTTGGTGGCATTGTTGGCGCCACAATGGGTGGCTGTGTTGTCCGCTGAGCATGGGCGAACGGCGAGATCGGGAGGACGATGGCAACGAGGACGAACGCGGCGGACGCCATGGAGGCCACCATCGTTAGCTACTACGCACCAGCGCTGATCAGCTAGCTTGTGTGCTTTCCAAACATATCACCTGCATGAACAATTTATAGGCAGCATCTGCCTAGCTATAGTACGGAGCACGCGATGCACCTGCCGTGTTTAATTCATTAATTGTCTCGTCTGCATGCAGCGTATGCACAGAGTCAAAAGGCAGCTCTTTTGATCTCTCGTGTACTAGGCGTACTCGCTTTGTACCTCGTATCCAGCTACGTATATATTCAACCGACGGAGTGTGGGCTCGTGGACATTCGGAATTCCGGGGATGATTGGATTTACTCATTCCATTTGATATTATAGAAGTCGCTTTAACTTTTTATAAAAAAAACATTTTTAACTTTAATTAAGTTTATAGTAAACTATAACGATACTTATAACATCAAATTAATTTTATTAATTAACATTTATTATATTTTGATAGTAGTATATTTGTTTTGTGTTAAATGATTGCTATATTTTTCTATAAAGTTAATCAAACTTATCGAAATTTAAGTTTTAAAAATATCATAACGTCTTATGAGTCAGAGGGAGTACTCCGTTAGCTTCAAGAGCACTGCAGCTAAGTACAAATGTACAATCATGTATTGCTCATTTGCTGCTTTTGCTAGTCTGCTCGTGAGCCAAAAGTCTGGCGTTATACTGCATAGCTTGGTGAATGGTGGGTCTGGGGGCCTGGGTTTTGGCGTTATTCTGCATAGCATGACAAAGAACATGCACAGATCAGATGTAACTTCGTCTAACTCAGCAAGTACGTACGTCTATATAAGCTGCAAAATCTCTCGAGTCCTAGCTTATAGGAGCAAGAAAAATACAAGAGCATGGCACGTGCCTGCGTGGTACTGTTGCCGCCCTTATTATCCAAGTCAACGACGATGAGTCGTTGATGACAGCTGAACACATGCTCATTTTATCCCAAAATAGACAAATCTAATTTAGACTATGATACATTTTAATATTACAAATCTGAATAAATCCTATCTAAATTCTGTAATGCTCGTTCTTTGTGGCTTTAGCGGGAAAATTTAATTTTTAAAAACCCTATCGTGAAAGTTGTTCTTTGATTGAAGAGTAGCTGTGTTGCCAAGATCTCCCTCCAAATCTCTGATCAAACCAAAATTCCAGCGAAAAATTCAAATTCAAATAAAAAAAATCCCAAAACTCTCTCAACAAATTCATGGAAAATTTCAAATCATTTCTCATTTCATTGAGGAAGAAGCTCAAAATCTTGATCAAGGAAAGTCACATTCGATCATATTGAGCCCATAATTTGAAATTAAGCACTTTAATTTTCCAAATTGTGCATCTCTAGGTTACACATGGAAGGCTCGGCCGCGGTTTGCAATATAGCCGCCAAGCCCTCCTAACTTGCTGCACAAACTTCCTTTGCTAATTGAGTTATCCAAAACACCCCTTGTCGTCTACCTTGTTGGGTTTCAGTATTTGTACTCTTGAGTATCAAAACCAAAGGCCTTTCTCAAATTCAAAATGATCAACATTGGGTAAAAATTGGGTTTTGTTGAATCCTTAGAAAAACCCAACACAAGGGTTGGTGCATTAAAAAGACGTACTGGTGGTGTAGTCTTACCATTCTCGTATCTAAGGACTGATTTTGTTCAAAATTTCACCAAGCATAACATAGTGTGACCGCATGGGTGAAGTGGGACACCCCCTAACTGAGTAACTAGCTAGGGCAGGGAAGCCTTGATGCCGATGGACAAGTAGATTCACCGGGATGGTGTCGGGAAGGACCCCTAAGCTTCCTGGTGCAACATGGTCTGAGACCTAACATGTTCTTGGTCCATGAGACCCCTCCAGTTGGCATAAGGTGACCCCATGTCTGCTTTGGAAATACCTTGTCACGAAAGCTTCAAAGTCCTTTTGTCTCTTTGGCCAGGAGCCATTGTTGTTGATCCAACAATGATACACTACACTCCTCCGACTGAGTGAGACTCACTCTCACTCTGGTCGTCGAGAAGCACTCACTAGACGAATTCAAAACTTGAAAATAAACAACCTTTCCTCTAAAGCTAGCATTAAACACTTAATACCCCTACCTTGGTCTGTATAATATATAGTACCCACCCTTGCTCTCTATATAAATATCTACTCCCAACTCTCGAAGAGGAGGAGATGGAACCCGAAGATGAGTTCTTCTAGGAGCAAACGACTTCAGTCAATCCTAGAGTTTCGGCCAAGTTTCCAAGTCACACCTGTGGTGTTGGTCTTGTTTCACTTCCGTTATCTTTGGCACTGACTCATTGTGAACTCAGGGTATGTTTGTAGTTGCAACATAGATGTAAAAATATTGATATTAGTGAAACTCTATTGCTGTGATACTCATCTTCCTGTTGTACCAGCGCTGCTTCCTATGACTGGTACAGGTTCATAGGTTAATGAATCGTCCTAAGATGACCTTCTATATGGCTAGTCCGGGGCGTGACAGATTCGTAGTGTTTATTTTAGGACGGTACGTGGCTGATAGTCTGAAGCAGAGGAAAGAATATTCCTTATGTGTGTGTTGTGCCTCCTTGTAACTACAAGGTAAAGAAAAAAAATTGAGATGGGAAATTAAATAGGAAGGAATTAATATATATGCACCAGATTTAGGAGCGTGTGATGGATTTTCTAGCAAATGATGGAGCAAGAACGTTCATTGAAAGAAAACCAGAAAGGGAAAATATGAAAAATACTATTTTAAAGATATGTTGCAAGATATCATAAGAATGACGCATGGGACCAAGACCCATATGTCAATCACATAAACAATGTTATTTTTCAACTCTATAATACTTTTTATGAGAAAACCCATGCCATAATGTTATGGGCAAAGAAAGAGATACAAGTGGCCCTGTTTGGATCAGGAGATTCTAACAACCGTAGCTTTTTCTAAAATCTTTACCTTAGCTTCCCCCAAACAGTTCATATCGTCACTTTGATTCTCGTAATCTGTAGCAATAGAATCCTGAAAAATGAACTTGAAGTTAGAAGTTGAGAAACACATCTTTTTAATATATTTTTAGAAGCTAGCTACCAACCAACTATTTCTCACAGTTCCCTAAAATGGAGCCTGTTATATTGTGCAGAGATCAGGACGTGCAAATTGATTGGCCACAACTGCGCGGTGAAGATATGTAAAATGCAAATACAATCCACAGAATAAACTTTCTTGTAATGCAAAATAACTCATATGCACAATCACATTGTGTATTCACTGGTCTTCTCAAGATTTTGTTATGTTGAAGTTTCTCGTGCTAATTAGAGAGAAGGCCACGGAGAAAGAAATTCTCTCTCTGGGCATGAGAGAGAGAGAGAGTATAAGTGGATTCAAATTAGGAAATTTAAGAGGTCCAATTTCGAGATCAAATGCCTGAGATATGATCAATTTTCAAGTTTGAATGTTGCTAAAGCATAAAACTGCCAAATTATCCAACTATTCTTCTGTAAAAAAATTATTTGTGGTGCCTGTCACTCGAGTTGCGTATATATCACTTCAATTTTGCAAGGTATCTAGCAGGTGAAGCCCATGGACTCTTTGACACATGGTCTCATAGATTGGTCGACGCCCACTCCACAAGGATTGAATGGTTAGATTACGCCGGTTACTGAGTGCGAGCCTCACATACCATCCACCATGGAGGCCAACATGTGGAACACAGTGGTCAGCCCAGCCAAAGCAAGTCCAATGCAACACCCTCGTCAAATGGTTTTCGATGACCATCCACTCGGCCGCGTGCCAAGCTGAGGGAAGAAAGCGAGGAGAGTGTAGGATCAAAACACAAGAACTAAGCCAACCAGAGGGGAGTGAATGGTTGGTATACCCAAAAATCCAAACTTTTTGCGGAATTAAAAGTTACCTTCAAATTTGACGGATCGCGGTCTGACCGAAGGTGTTGCGCCGGTCTGACCGCTTGGAAGCCGTCGGTCTAACTAGAGTAGATCGTCCGGTCTAACCGCCCGAAGAAGCTGCAGTCGCTTGAACCTGCCGCCGGTCTGACTGCCGTGTACCCACCGGTCTGACCGCTGCGATGCCGCCGATCTGACCGTTGGTGTCTCGCTGATTAGACCGCTGAACCCGAGAAAACACAAATTGAAGAACTCTAGATGTAGATGATAACTTTATTACTTCTCTCTGTGTTTACAAAGTGCAACAACAGCACTCCTCACGAAAATCTTGACAAAACTCGAAACCCTAGCTAAACTTACAACTCAATCGCTTTAAAAAACGATACAGGCTTCACGCTCCCTCTCTATTTATATATGAGGTAGGTAGCCTAAAGCCACGAACCAAACTCATACTAGAAGTCCTAATCCAACTAGTAAATCTTCCCGTACAAGAAACAAACTTTACAAACTCCAATCATACCAAATTTGGACTCCTACCAAATTCGACTCCGCATCCAATACGCACACAATACCTCCATCGTATGCCATATGGATCATCACCAACCACGTACATTGAACTCTAGCCTAAGTATCTCGCATGATATCTGACCGTCACGGACGTCGCCTTATCCCCAAGTCGACTCCCGATCCATCACCGGCAATACTCTACCGAGGCATCAAGTCACCTACACATGAATCAAACAAAGAAACCATATTCCGAGACCAAGCTATCTTCAACTTGACTCATTGTTAGCAAACAACAGTATTACATACGCATAGTATCCATCTAGAAGCCAACATAAAACAATCACGAATATCCAAACAAACAACCCGAAACCAAAACCGACACAGAGTTGGCCAGCCCGACGCGAGCTGGCCGGTCTGACCGCGCGATACACGCCGGTCTGACCGGCAACCACTTCCCGGTCTGACCGGACCCAAATCACAGCAGTACCTGTAAATCACCTGTAAAATCCAATCATCTCCAAAACCACTTCGCCGATAATCTCTAAATATCAAAACCAATAATCTCATATGCCAATTGTTCATCACAGAATAAGAATAAAAAACACTTTGATTTTACAGGGAGCTCACCCGTGGGCACGGTGAGAATAATGGAAAGTCGATGGCAGCGGAACAGAGCTTGAAGTGGTGACGCACTTCGGGTAGGTGTGGATGATGTCTTTCCTTAGATCTTCGGGTGGCGTTGATGTCCTACGTATCGAAGACGAGGGCACGAAAAAGATGCCGACGGAGGTGGCTCCTACAAGTAATCAGAATTCTATTGGCAACCAACCGATTTTGTTGGTGCTATGAGATCCTTCGATGCCTCGAACGATGGCAAACGACGGCCGGAGCCCCTTGGATATGGAGAGAGACAGAAAGGAGAGCTTTGAAGGCACCAATAAAATTTTACTCAATCTGACAAATCAAGGCCAAATTGAATGTGAATTTAGAGAGGGAATGAAGCACATGGTTGGGGTCATGACTATGCTTTCGAGTTGTGGATTGGAGTGGAATCACGAGTAGTGGCGACGTGGGGAGAAAGACGACTACTATGCTGTGGGATGCACCACTTATTAGCATCGCGGGTGAGCGACCTGGTCGGACCGACTGTTGTATGTACTTATAGATGTGGAGGAAGAAGGTCGGACTCGTTGGCCGATGTGGGGAGGAAGGCCAAGGTGACACGGGAGTGGGCTGACGCGCGGAGGCATCCCATGTCGGGAGTAAGGAGAAAGAGAGGGGGGGGGGGGTTTCTTGGTTTTCTTGGGTTTTTCCTTTCGGTTTTTGTCTGGTTCTTCTTATGTTTTTTGGGTTTTTAATATATGAAAACTTTGTATACATGTTGTTTTTGTTTTTTATTTTTAAATATGTATGTATATAAAGTTTGTATACGTGAATATATATTTTTATACATTAAAAGTGTATACATATATATATATATATACATACATATATATATATACATACATATATATATATATACACACATATATACATATATATATATTATATTATATTATATGCATATGTATACACTATATACATACATAGCAACTATATATATATATATATGTACAAAGTTTATCCGTATATTCATACGTATATACGCGTACAGAGGAGAGATGAAATGGGCCGCAGCCCACCTCGGGCCTGCAGCTTTGCAGGCAAGGAAGGCAGAGTGGGAGAGAGAGAAGAAGAAGGGGGAGGGGCGAGGGTAAGCCCGGCCGGCTACGCGTGAAGAGATGGAAAGGGAAGCCTTTTTTGAAAACCTGGAAAGGGAAGCTTTCGGCCGGATTTGGCTTAAAGGTTGTTCTCTGTTTAAGAATTTCATCAGACCAAGTGTTTTTCCGTACACAAACACGGAAAATTGTCCATGTGGACTGGAGAGATGACACGATCACAAAATCAAAGTCACGAGATTTAACATCAACTTTTATTCAACGATATATTGTAAGACGGACAACTAGCTAGTCGATCAATCACCAAGCTAGCACACAGAAGCATGCATGCAGTACACTGGTATAGTCGACTAGAAGCATAGCTGCACAGGACCCAAATTAAGTACATACGAGTAACATATATAAGTAATTACGCAAGCAGCACAATATATAATTACGATTTAAGGGTAGAGTACGCGCGTAGTGCATGCATGCTTTATTAGCTAGAGCCAGATCGCGATCAGCTAGGCTCTGCTGCAGTTGACAGTCAAGAGGTCCAGGGGAGCTTTGTTGCAGATCTTGAGGATGCTACCTGTGACATTATTGCTCGCGGTTATACCGATTGATAGTCCGGTGGCCCTGAGAGCGGCGCACACGCATCTGGCGGCGACGTTGTTGGGGAGCTCCGAGATCGCCGGGCAGCAGAACTGCTCGGGATTGGGGCGTCCGAACAATATCGCAGTGATGCACCTCGTGTAGTTCGCGAGATCTGATATGACTCCTCCGGGGCACTGCGTGTTCGGAGGCGGTGGTGGGGGTGGGGCATTGGTGGTCTGGCCGCTGGCGAAAGCCAGCAGGAGAAGAGCCGTGGCGAGGAAGAACGACGCTATGGAGAGCTTGGAGGGGGCCATGGTTAAAACGCGAGTGATGATTAATTAATTGTATAGCTTTTGATGATGGCAATATGGCATGGAGCTGTGCACTATTTATAGCCTAGGCAACGTAGAATTAATCCATACATGATACTACATGTAAGTACCGCAGCTGGTGTGCCTTGTTTGTGGTGTTGAATTGAAGCTAGCATACACGTACGTGCTGCATTTTCGCCTGTACTTTTGCTAGACCGCCATACTTCTTCTGAAGCTAGCGGAGCCGTGCATACGATAGATTATATATGTGGAGCAATTAATATCACTCAGGTTGATCGCCTTTGACAAGTACTGTACTGTGCGTGAACCAAGACTTCTACGGCCCGTATAAATCCCCTAGCAAAATTATACATCCTGTCACATCGAATATTTGGACACATGCATGGAGTATCAAATATAAAAAAAAACTAATTACACAGATTGCGTGTAAATTGAGAAACAAATCTTTTAAGCCTAATTGTGCCATGATTTGACAATAATGTGGTACTACAGTAAACATTTGCTAATGACGGATTAATTAGGCTTAATAAATTCGTCTCGCGATTTACAGACGGATTCTGTAATTTGTTTTGTTATTAGACTACGTTTTAATACTTCATATGTGTGTCCGTATATTCGACGTGACACACAAAAAATTTACACCCCTGAATCTAAACACAACCTACGTCGTCCACGCCAATAGACTTTGGCTCTTTTAGATCCCATCCTAAAATTTTTCACCCTGCCACACTGAAGTTTGAACACTTACATGAAGTATTAAATATAGGCTAAAAAAATTATGCACATATTATGACTAATTTGCGATACGAATTTTTTAAGCCTAATTGCTATATGATTTGACAATGTGGTGCTATAATAAATATTTGCTAATAATGGATTAATTAGGCTTAATAAATTCGTCTCGCGGTTTACTAATGGATTCTTTAATTAGTTTTTTTTATTAGTGCCCAAACACCCCATATGATACCCTATATAATATCCGATATGACACGCCAAAACTTTAAGCTCCTAGATCTGAACACCCCTTTGTTAGCTTAGCTACAGCTAGTAGCTGCACCCCTATGAACAACATGCTGCTCAATCGTGTGGGAAAAAAAAACCCCGTAGTGTCGCTGCCGCCTGGGCGCTCCAGTGGGAAGGTTGGAAATATATCTTGAAAAATTGAGCACATGTGAACGGTAATCATGGGCTAGTAAAAATGGGGGCACCGTGACATCCTGACCGAATTAATTTGAATTTAGTTTGTATGGACAATAAATACTGTGTACGCATATTTAGTATCACATGCCATTTAAATAAGAGCGAAATCAACTTATAAGGACTTTTCTCTCCAACCATATTAAGTAGTGTAGTATGTGTGAGTGGATCCGCCCATCGGATGAGCATATAGAGAAGGTGACGACAACGGTCCTCCAGCAAGCCCCCTCCTCTACCGTCAACTTCCAGGTTAGTTCTTTCTCCCGCACCCTCACCGTGCCACTGCCCGATCTCACCGGCGTCGGAAGGTGTCAACGTGCCGACGCGACCCCACCCAGCTGACCTCCTTCCCCTCCCCCCACCACACTTTGTTCCTGCCACCAACATTGGCACCACCCCCCCTTGTGTCTCACCACCCACCCTTGACCATCACCCACCGCCGGTCTGCCGCCTCCCATGCAGGTAATCCTTCTAAGCTCTATCCTTCACTTTTCCTTTCCCCACCCCACTCAGGTCATCCTTCTAAGCCCGATTCTCCACTTCCCCCTCCCTCGCCCACCCCGAATCTCTAACCCTAACCAGTCTTGCGTGCGACTTATCGTGACGTCACATGATTTCCTCACCTCGTGCGTGTGCGCGAATTAGGATTCCCGCCTTTCCGGATGAAACATAGGCATTGCTCGAACACGTAGAGGGCTGGTCCAGCTGGTGATGAGCTGGTGACATTATACAACTATGGAAAATTACAAGAGTAATGTTTCTATTCCCGTCTATCAGTGATGGAGTCGGAAAATTTTCAGAGCCTAGGCAAGCTAAGGATTGATAATGAGCAAAGATCTTTCATACATGTAAGATTCATCATGGTTCCTTGTATCAACAAAGCACCGTGTCATTCTGAAATTTGAGGAAGAGCTAGCTATAAGTAAAGCACAGATGATCCAAATTCAATGCAAATGCAATTGATTAAAATCAAGTATATTATCACAATAAACTACTCACTAATAAAAAAACAACTCCTATACTCGTGCTGGTTGGCCAATTACTGAGTTTGCTAGTACTGCTCCTTGGCAAATCAACACTTTATTTGGGCAGCAAGGATAACCACTCGATTGTTGCATGGAGACTAAATGATCATAATTTTTTTTAAGAAAAATGATAAGATGGATTAATATGTAATATATAACTCTACAAACATATAAGTTAAAATTCAATTTCTACAAGTTGTAAAAAAATAGCAAATTATACTATACCTAGTAAAATAGCAAATTTGAGTATGTATATTCACAGTCAAATTTGTTATTTTTTATAAGTTGTACAAATTAAAGTTGAACTTATATGTTTGGAAAGCGATATATTACATATTAATCTATCTTATATTTTTTAAAAATATTTTATAACCATTGTTGACATGAAAAATGAGTGTACCTTGACCCGAATGTTTAAAAGAGTTTCCCTAGCAATGATTGCATGTAATTTCACCAGCACAGGAGAGATGCAGCACTAACTACATGATAGATTTTCCTGGACGCCGTCCCCTTTTGTTTCCATGCTGTCCGTAAGTGGAACCACATGGAAAAATAGGGGGACAGGCGCCGGGCTGTCGCCCGTACGGGAAAACACATTATCCTGTGCGGGCGGCTAAGCCAACCGCACACGAATTTTCACCCGCACGGGCCCACCGCTTTTAACCGCGCCCGCGCGCACCATCTCCCACTCCGCCCGCTCCTCCACCTCCCTCTCTCCCACTCCACTCCTCTCCTCCTCTCCTCCCACTCTCCTCTCCTCTCTTCCCCTCTCTCTTGGCCGGCCGGCGGCGCGACAACATGCGGCCGGCGCGCGACCCCTCCCTCTCCCTCGACTGCGGGAGCAAGCGGCGGCGGGCGACCACGGCGGCCCCTCCTCCCCTCCCTCCCCTCCCCTTGAAGATCCAGCAGAGGGGAGGCATGGGGGTGGTGGATCCAACGGTGCGCGCCCCTCCCCTCCTTCCCCTTGCAGATCCGGTGGCACGCGGCCCCTCCCCTCCCTCCCCTTGCAGATCCGGCAGAGGGGGCGGTGGATCTGGCGACGCGTGACCCCTCCCCTCCCTCCCCTTGCAAATCCGGCGGAGGGGAGGCATGCATGGGGGCCCGGCGGAGCAGCGGCATGCGTCAGCGGTCGGCGTGGAGATGGGGTGATGGCGTCGGCGATCGGCGGATCTATCTCTCCCCCTCCTTCTCTCTTTGTTATCCTCTTTGTTATTTGTGATTCTTTGTGGTTTGTGAGATGCATTTTTGGAGTTCATTTGTTGCTGTGAGATGTGTTCTTGTGATGTGACAGTTCATTTGTTGATGTGAGATGTGTTCTTGTGATGTGAGATCATTGTGTGTCGATGTGCGACTACGGATCCGGCACCGGCGACGGGAGCGGGTGGCGGATCTATAGCCGGCGACAGCGGCGGGCCTCGGCTAGGCGGCGGCGGCGGATTAGGGTTAGGTTTTTTTTCTTTTTTTTTTGATTTTTTGTTTTTCTGTGTTGGCAGCGTAAGCTACTGCATGCGAAAATCACGATTTTACCAGACGACTGGGTGTGTGCGGGCCACCCTCCCGCACGTAAAAATCGTTTAGCCCGCACGAGGTAATCGGTATTGTAGTAGTACATGCCGAGGAGCCTGGGCGCTGCTGGGCCGTAGATCAACCTCTGTTGACGAGGGATTGCGAATTGGGCGATGGAATATGCCCCCAAACTTTTTATATTTTAATCTATACTAATACATCAAAATATATTAAAGGGTATTTTCTCTACTTTTGAAAAAAGTTTCAATCTTACTTCTTTATTTATTAATTTCGCTAGAATAGGCTTGTTAGTGTTCAGTGACAATCATGTCTACGTAAAAATGAGCTTAATTTGGCTCATGATGACGATATGAATAAGCCTTGAGGGCTTTAAAGATTTCATTTGCCTGCTTAATAAAAATTAATTTAATGTACCAAGGTACGATTTTTCTTCCAACTTTCTTTTATAAAATATACTTCTGATATAGATAGAACGTCACTATTAATTTATTCTTTTGTTTCTTAGTATTTTTTTAAACATATGGCCTCTATTTGTGTTTCACACGGGACCTCACATTCTTAAGTACAACCCTGTGTTTTTAGTTTTGAAAAAGTGAACCCTGGCACATACATGAATTGTCTACGCAGAGAGATCGACGATCAACATGATGATCACAAGATATCAAATAATTAAGTCACGAGAAACAACAACCTTTTATTCAACACTGTATATTTCGATCATACAAGCCGGATAGCCAGTCTACCACCAAATTAAGCTAGCACAACGATGCTATACACAGCTGGTAGTCGATTAGAAGCGTCAAGCTACAGGATCCCAAGATCAAAGTAATTACGAGTAACATACTACAGTCTACAGTACATGCAACATAAAATAGTTTAGGGTGGAGTAATAGGCGCCTAGTGCGTGCATACATGCTTATTTAATTAGCCGGCCACTGGCTAGGCTTTGCTGCATTTAGGGGTGAAAATGGATAGGATAATATCCGATCCGATCCGCTCCAAATCCATCCGTAACGAGAATATGGTATGGGTTTTTTTTTTTTGAAATCCGGTGGATATAGATGTGTGGGGATATTATGATGCGGATGCGGATGCGGACGCAGTATCTCTAAAATCCAGCAGATGCAAATTATCCGATCTTCCTAACGGATTATCTGATAGGCCGTTTGCCGGATAATCCGAAATTATCAACTCATGTAACTACTCTATATGTTGCATAAAACATGAGCCAGCCCATCTAACGACCCAATTCATCAATTAACCTAGCTAGACTCTTTAGTTTGAGACTTT